AGTTTGTTCAAATCATGACCCCAGGGGTTGGGCAGAGCCACAATGGACAATAAAAGTTTTTACCCAGGAATATTAAGGGAAAATCTTTAAAAAAAAATTCTGTTTGAGAAAAGCAAAGCCATGATTGGTCATATTTATATGGAAGCATCCTCAGGTAGTGTAGATTTAACTTTGTTCTTGTGATGACCCAAGGGGTTGGACAGGGCCACAATGGACAATAAAAGATTTTACATAGGAATATATAGGGAAAAATCTTCTTGAGAAGAGCAAAGCCATGATTGGTCAAATTTATATGGAAGCATCCTCAGGTAGTGTAGATTCAAATTTGTTTCAAATCATGACCCCCGCAGATAGGTATAGTTTTACATAGGAATATCTAAAATTAAAAAAATAAAAAATGTCTTGAGAATAGCAAAGCCATTATTGGTCATATTTATATGAAAACATCCTCAGGTAGTGTAGATTCAAAATTGTTCTGATCCTGAACCTGGGGTTTAGGATTGGGCCACAATGGTCGATCAAAGTTTTACAGAGAATATAAAGTAAAAATCTTCAAAAATCTTCTTTTTTAGAAAAGCAAAGCCAGGGATGGGGTAAAGCCACGATGGACGATTTAAGTTTTTCATAGGAATATATAGGAATTTTTATGCCCCACTTCGAAGAAGGGAGGGCATAATGCTTTGTTGCTGTCTAAAATCGGTCTGCCTGTCCATTTTGTGTCCATTCATTTTCATCGCAACCGTCGTACAGACTGAAATGAAATTTGTATACAGATATATCACATTAATATCTAGGACAAGTTTTGTTTTGGGTACAATCGCATCATTATTGACAGAGTAATGCCCCTTTTACTTAGGAAAATTCCAATTTTTTGCTGTTTCTGCTTCATTTTTTTTCAACTGATGCACATACTGAAATGAAATTTGGTTTTCAGATATATCACATTAAGATCTAGGTCAAGTTCTGTTTTGGGTTAGTTACAGCAATAATCTTACCGTAATTCGGTATAAGCCCTCACCACAGTTAGAATACATCCCATATACTTGCAATGTAGCAAATTTTGAATGTGCCAAAACGATTTTGAAGAATATGAAACGATTTGCAATGGAAATAAGTATCAAATTAATCAAAACAAACCTTCTTGAGGTTGAACATGCCTTTTATTACAAATATAATCCATAGAAGGACGCAAACCCAATTAATTTTCTCAACTGCCATGTTTACAATTGGAACTTTCTAGAGTGTTGGTAGTAAATGTACTAGTATGAGTTATCGCCTGTGTTTTGCTACAGTGACTGAATACACAGAACGAATTCTATCGTTAAACCGGCCGGGTCCGTAGGACATTATCATTTTAACGATAGAACATTGTATCTAGTTTTGGGTACAATCGCATGATTTTTGACAGAGTTATGCCCCTTCGACTTAAAAAATTTCCAACTTTTGCATTTTCTGTTCATTTTCTTTGCAACTGTTGCATGTATTAAAATGAAATTTGGTATACAGATATATCACATGAATATCTAGCTTAAGTTCTGTTTTGGGTTTGGTCACACCATTTGGTATACAGATTAATCTGATGACTATCTAGATAAAGATGTGTTTTGGGTACAATTACGCCATTTTTGACAGAGTTATGCCCTTTGGGACTTTGAAAAATAGCAAAGCCCTGGTCATATTTATATGGAAGCATCCTCAGGTAGTGTACAATCAAAATTATTCAAATCTTGACCCGCGGAGCTAGGGCAGGGCACAATGGACGATCAAAGTTTTACATAGAATATATTGGAAAAATTTTCTCCTTGAGAACAGCAAAGCCATGATTGGTCATATTTTAATGTAAGCACCTGCAGGTAGTTTAGATTCAAGATTGTTCAAATAAATACCCCTGGGGGTAGGGCGGGGGCAAAATGGATAATGAAAGTTTTGCATAGGAATATATAGGAAAATTTTCAGCTAGCTTAAGTTAGCTTTTCAGATCACATTTAATCTGGTGTACGTCTGTCTAGCTGTCCTGTCTGTAAAGTTTTCACATATTTGACATCTTCTTAAGAACCACTGGGCCACTTTCAACCAAACTTGCCATAAAGCATCCTTTGGTTAAGGGGATTCAAGGTTCTTCAAATGAAGGGCCACACCCTTATTCAAGGGGAGAAAATTCAGAAATAATGAAATTTTGTGGTATGTTACAAAAATTTCTTCTCAAGAACCATTGTACCAAGAAAGATGAAACTTAAAGGGAAGGATCCTTAGGTATGTAAATTCAGATTTGTTCAAATCATGACCCCTAGGGTTAACGTGGGGCTACAATAGCTGATCAGAGTTTTACATAGAACTATATATAGAAGATTCTTTAAAATTCTTCTTCTCAATGATAGCAAACCCACTTTAATCATATTTATATGGATGTATCTTCAGGTAGTGTAGATTTAGGTTTATTCAAACATAATCCCTGTGGTTAGGAATGGGCTTCAACAGGGAATCCAAGTTTTACTTGTATGTAGGAAAAAAAACTTTCAAATTCTATTCTCAAGAATAAAAAAGCCATAATTTATTAAATTTTATGGAAGAATCCTGAGGTAGTGTAGAATTAAGTTTGTTTGTGTGATGGACTCAGGGGGTAGGGTGGGGCAATAAAGTGACAGGTAGTCAAAGAAACATGCAAGCATCCTTATGTAGTGTAGATCCAAGTTTGTTAAAATTATACCCTCTCCCCTTTAAGGTTTAGTTGGGACTACTTTTGGGTTAAAACTTTCAGATATCAACTGATTTCTGCTTTTTCCCTAACCATTGTGCTCAGTTGAGCGATGTGACCCATGAACCTCTTGTTTGTGTACTTTTTAGCTCTTCTGAGCCAAAGGCTCAAAGAGCTAATGCTATGGCCATTTGTGCGGTGTGCGTCATGCGGTTAGCGTCGTGCGGTGTGCGTTAACTTTTCAGAATATGGGCCATAACTCAAGAACCCTTTGGCCAATCTGTGACAAATTTGTCACAGGGTATCCTTGGCCCAAGGGCTACCATTTATACTAAAATAAGGGTTGGGACCATAAAACAAGGGTAGATAATCCGGAAAACAAAACCAAAAGTACTGGTTGCAAAAAAATCTTCTTCTCCAGAACCACCAGGCAGATTTTCACCAAACTTACATACAATGATCAGGATGTGTTGAAGATTAAAAATTGTTCAAGGCATGACCCTGGGGCAAAGGGCGTGGTTTCAAGGTCACTTCAAAGTTGACTTAAATTTACAATTAATGAAAACGTTTATATTTTGCTTACTATTAGGACTAGGATCATCAAATCTTGTAAGTTGATGCATCTCAGGACTTCACATCATGTTAACTCAAAAGTAGGTCACGATGACCTACTTTTTAAATTTTGTAAGCATTTGTTTTCAAATTGATTTGAAGGCATATTACGGGCACTTTAAGGCCTATGATCATCAAACTTTGTCAGTTGATGCATCTTGGGTCCTTGAACAACGTCAACCTAAAAGTAGGTCACCGTGACCTACTTTTTGAACTTTATGACTAATTCTTTTTAAAACAATTAATCCAATTATTTCAGACACTGAGAGGTTTAGAATCATCAAATCTTGTAAATTGATGCATCTTGAGACCTTAAAACATTTTTATGAAAAAGTAGGTCACTGTGACCTACTTTTTGAATTTTGCAGGCATTTGTTTTTGAATTGTTTAAAAGGCTTATTTTGATTACCTTTAGACGTAGGATCATTAAACTTGGTCAGCAGATGCATCTTGTGACTTTAAAAAATTTCAACCAAAATATAGGTCACGATGACCTAGTTTCAACATTTTATGGTAATATTTTAGTATCTTAGGTATTTTTTGGCTTAGAATCATCAAACTTTGTGAGTTGATGCATCTTGGGTTTTCGGAGAGTAACGAACAAAAAGTAGGTCACGGTGACCTACTTTTGACATTTTATGGCTTTATTTAAATATTCTTGGTAATTATTGGCTTAGAATCATCAAACTTTATGAGTTGATGCGTCTTGGGTTTTCAGAGAGTGACAACCTAAAAGTAGGTCACAGTGACCTACTTTTTACATTTTATGGCTTTATTTAAATATATTAGGTTTTTTTTGGATTAGAATCATCAAACTTTGTGAGATGATGCATCTTGGAGTTTCGGAGAGTAACGAACAAAAAGTAGGTCACAGTTACCTACTTTTGACATTTTATAGCTTTATTTAAATATCTACGGTAATTATTGGCTTAGAATCATCAAACTTCATGAGTTGATGCTTCTTGGGTTTTCAGAGAGTGACTTCCAAAAAGTAGGTCACAGTGACCTACTTTTTACATTTTATAGCTTTATTTAAGTATATTAGGAATTTTTTGACTTAAAATCATCACAGTGACCTACTTTTAACATTTTGTGTTTTTTTTAAGTATCTACAGTACTTATTGGCTCAGAATCATCAAACTTTGTAAGTTGATGCATCTTGGGTTTTCGGAGAATGATGTCCAAAAAGTAGGTCATGGTGACCTAATTTTTTGACATTTTATGGATTTATTTAAGTATCTTATAACTGGTTTAGAATTACTAAACTTTGTTTGTTGATGCATATTTGGTTGTTAGAGAATGTATCTTGGGTTTTCAAAGAATGTAGACAAAAAAGTAGGTCACGGTGACCTATTTTTAAATATCTCAAATACTCATTGGCTTAGAATCTTCAATCTTTGTTTATTAATGCATATTGAGTCCTCAGAAAACTTTAATCTTAAATATATAGGTTACTGTGATGTACTTATGGTTTTTATAGCTTTATTATTAAAAATATTTTCAGTCCTAATTGGCTACGAATCATCAAATTTTGTCAGTTGATGCAACTTGGGTCTTAGGATACTTAGGGTTAGAGGCTTCAAATAGAAGTGATAGATTGCGATTCAAGGCCCTTTGGCCTCTTGTTTTCTTTCTTTGTTAAAAATACAAACCAATAGAGCTTCATTCTCATCAGAGACTTCTTGTTTTCTAGATGCCAAAGAAAAGAAAAGCTGTTAGTGGTAGAACACAGCGTGAAAGAGACAGAGCTAGAAAGAGGCAGGCGAGACAAAAACCTTCAATGTTAGATGTGTCGCCAGATGAGGAAGTGACTGAGTTCTCTGTTCCTTGCGGGACAGAGGATGGAGCTAAGTCAGCTCCTCCCGGTAATTTTTCGGGGCTTGGTTTGATGGGGTTTCCACCTAAAGAGGAAAAACCCCTGGCCAGGGTGCAGGCCTCACCTTGTGTGAAAATGCATTCACCTGCCCCGAGGTTGCCATCTCCTCGGGGAAGTCGTCTGTTTGTCCGCAACGAGGGCAAGGCACCGTCCCCTGACTCCCCACCGTGGGTTTGTGCTCCACCGAGGGCACCTGGATCGGACATAGTGCATATGTCTGATCCAGCAGGTCAGGCGCAGCTGGATACCTCCAGGGAGGAGGAGACCAGCAGGATATCAAAAGATGAGGGCACTTTAACGAATACTAAAACGGAAACTGAACGAATTTTAAAAAGGAACTTGAACGAATACAATATAGAATCTGAAATGAAACAAATGGAAATGAGAATAAATTCAATGAGAAATATGAGGAATACAGTACAATTTCAGGAAATTGTGATGAAGAGAAAGTGAATGAGAAAAAAAGAGATCAGAATGGGGAGAAATCATCTAAGAGAGGTAACTTTGATATGCCTATCTCAGTCCAGGGTTCATTTCATCAGGCCCATCCTATGTTTGAAGACAATGCTGGGACACAGTGTGTTGCTAATTGTTTAGCAGGACTGGCCTATCACAAACTTAAAAATGCAAAGAATTGGACATCAATGGACATGGATAGGATTTTAATGACAGGTGATGAATTGTATACATATCTGCAAAGAAGCTCGTCAATTAGTGATAGGTATTTACTCGTAGAGGAATTACCACAGTTTTTTGAATGCTTTAATCGATCATACCAATTTCAAGCAAAGGAAGCATTCACAAGTGTTATTTTGGCAGATAATGGATTCAACTATTCAGAGTTTAATGCATTACCCTTAGATGAAGCTCTTCAGATTGCTCTTGCAAACAATGACGGTTGTTTTGTGTGCTTTGGTGGAAATACTATGCTTATAGGATCAACAGATAATGGGTTCTTCACTTTTGACTCCCATTCAAGATCTTTCAATGGAATGTTAAATGTATCAGGAAAGAGCACCAGAGTTTTATTTCAAAATGTAAGTGAATTATATTCATATCTCAAGTCTCTTGCTCTTTCAATGGGCTATTCAAAAGATGTTGAATGTAATTTGAGTGGTGTCAACTGCAAAATGAATTTCATTGCAAATGACAATGGTTTGCATGAGGAAAACATATCTGAAAGGCAAGAGTTGACAATGGAATCTGCTGTTGAGACTTGCAGTAGAAATGATGACTTGATGTTTCTTAGTCAGGAGCAGTTACAATTTAGTTTTGTCCCACTGACTATGGATATAAAAGAACATCTTTGTGAAATGTTGAACATTCCTTTCATTTGCAAAGAAAATTCAGACAACATCCAATGTACGAGAACTAATATTGCAGAACCAATATTTGAAAGAAACATTTCAGGGGATGGAAACTGCTTCTTCAGAGCTGTTTCATTCAGTCTTACAAACTCAGAAGATTTCCACCATGTTTTGCGGAATGCAGTATGTGAGCACATGATGAAAAACAAAGAGTTATTTAAGCCATTCCTGAAAGACGGTGTTCATTCTGTTGAAAGTCACCTTTCTTCTTCTAAAATGTTGCAAGGAGGAACATGGGCTACAGAGATGGAAATATTTGCAACAGCTCACTTACTGAAGATTGATGTATATACCTACTCAGAGGGGTGTTGGTTAAGGTTTTTAGTTGCTGATGTGGAACCAAGTATGCAAAGCAGAAATGGAGCAATTTACTTGAATCATCAACAACAGAACCATTACAATGTAGTACTTTCTGTCCATGGAGAGGAATTAGAGTTGACAAATATGCAGCAGAGTAAAATTCCACAGGATTATGGAAAGCGCTATCAAAATCGATTACGAATGAAGAAGAAAAGGCAATCTACATCAGAAATGAAAGAGGAAATAAATGCTGTAGAGAGAAAAAACCAGTCTTTAAGAAAAAGGTATTTGCAAGATTCAGAATATAGAGAAAAGAAACTGAAAGCATCATCGGAAAGGTATGCAAAGGATGATGATCACAGGGAAGAAGTGAAAATGAAAAGTATTCAGAAATATAAATTGAATGACGAACACAGGGAAAATGTAATAGCTAAAGGCAAACTGAAGTACAAAACAAACGAAGTTTATAGAATTCAAGTTAATTCTGCAAGTACAAAGAGATACAGAGAAAATGAAAATTTTAGAGAAGCAAAACTCCACAATGCAGCTAAGAAATATGAAAGTGATGAATCTTTTAGGACAAAAATTAAGACTGCCAGTAGAAATCAATATGATTCAAGTGCAGTATTAAAAGAGCAGAAGAAGGAGAGGGTAAAGAGGCAAAGAACTGCTCACAGAGTTGGACTGGAAAATGAGGAAGAAGTAGTGAGAGTTTTTAGGGAAAAGGCTGTGGAAGGTATTGATTATTCATGTTGTTGCTGTGATAGGCTCTTGTTTCAAAATCAAGTTCAAAGATGTGAACGGGAAACATATGCAAAAAATGAGCAGGCAGCAAATATTGCTAATTTGTGCATTCAGGAGAAACACTGCCATAAGTGCACTGAATTGTGTCAGAAGAACTGCAGTAAGTCCAAATTATGGATTTGTTACACGTGTCACAGAAAAATCATAAGTGGGAATTTTCCAGCAGAGGCAGCAGCTAACAAAATGGCCCTTGAAGATATACCAAAGATATTGAAAGAATTAAACAGCCTTGAGAAACACTTAATTGCGCTGCACATACCTTTCATGAAAGTAATGGATCTTCCTCACGGTGGTCAGAAGAATATTCATGGGCCAGTTGTATGTGTTCCATCAGATCTGAGGAAAGTTACAAGCTTACCAATGAAACCCGGGGAAGATTTTCTATTAAGAGTAAAATTGAAGAGAAAATTGAGTTATAAAGGGTACAGTGAATACCAGTTCGTTGATCCAAAGCACATACTTGAGGCTTTAAAATATTTAAAACTGAACAATCAGTGGTACGAAGATGTAGCAATAGACACAAACTGGAAAGGGCACTTAGACTGTCCCGAAGAAATGTTGGAGCAAGGTGATTTGGAAAATGATGATCAGCTGCACATAGTTTCAGATACATGTTTACAACCAGTAGATATTGGTCAGGAGGTTCTTGATCATTACTTTGATGATATTTATGATATTGCCCCAGGAGAAGGGAATAACCCAATAAGGATGTTGCAGGAAGATGGGAATGAGGCTAAAACATTTCCATATCTTTTTCCTAGTGGGCGTTTTTCATGGAATGACGATAGAGAGACACGACTTACACTGTCAAGATATTACAACAATCGCCTTATGAATACTGATGACAGATTTGCAAGAGACAACAATTACATTTTCTTCAGTCAGTTTATGTCCGATTTAAACCAAGTTATAGAGAAGACGCAGATTTCAATCAGGAAGTCAGTGAGAAGAATGGGCAATGATCAGTTTGTGACAGCAAATATGGTACAAAACCCAGAAATGCTTTCCAAGTTGATAAAGAATGACGAAGCTCTGCGATTCATGCAGCCTATACGTGGAACACCGGCATATTGGTCAGCTGCGCAAAAGGATCTGTTTGCTATGCTTCGACAGTTAGGTATACCCACATGGTTTTGTTCTTTCTCTGCTGCCGAACATAGATGGAATGATGCAGTTGCAACAATACTGAGGCAGCAAAATGATACTAGAGACCCTTGTTTATTGGACTGGTCTGAAAAGAATGAAGTTCTGAGGAGCAATCCTGTCACAGTTGCTAGAATGTTTGAGCATAGATTTCATGTTTTTCAGAAAGAGGTGATATTTTCACCGTCGGAACCAATTGGGAAAGTATCGGATTTTTTTCAAAGAGTCGAATTTCAACAAAGGGGGTCTCCTCATATGCACTGTTTGTATTGGGTAGAAAATGCTCCTAAACTTGATGAAGATGGTGAGGATGCTGTCTGCAGTTTCATTGACAAATATGTTAGTTGTGCAGTGCCCCCAGAGACGGAAGATTTGGAATTGAGGGAAATTGTTTTGGGTGTACAACAACACAGCAAAAAACACTCAAAAACCTGCAAGAAGAAGGGGACAGATTGTAGGTTTAATTTTCCTAGGCCACCTTCTGTATGTACGTTCATTAATTCGCCATTTGAGGAAGAAATCATCTTGAATAGTTCTGGAGAGGCCGCTGATTTGAAACACGAACAGTCTATTGCTAAAGAAATACTTTTGCAAGTTTGGAATGAAGTGCAAGATGAATCAAACCAAATGCAGACTGCAGAAGAGATTTTGAAACATTTGGGTTTGACCCAAGCGCAATATGAAGAAGCTCATAAACGACTAACAAAGAAGAAATCAGTTGTTCTTCAAAGAAACGTAAGTGATCTGTGGACAAATCAGTACAATCCGTGCCTTTTAAGATGCTGGGATGCCAATATGGATATTCAATTTGTTTTGGATCCATTCAGTTGCATTGTGTACATCATTTCATACATTTCAAAATCTGAGAGAGAGATGGGAATGGTGTTAAAACAAACAAAAATAGAGGCAGAGGAGGGAAATGAAAATGCACGCATAGTCTTGAAAAAAATAGGTTCTGCTTATTTGAATCACAGAGAAGTGAGCGCACAGGAAGCTGTATATCGCGTATGTAACCTGAAAATGAAGGAATGCTCTAGGAAGGTAGTGTTTGTACCCGTGGGTGAAAATCCTACCCGACTGACGAAACCATTAGCTCAACTAAAAAGATCACGTAAGAATGAGGACAGTGTTCAGGATGACGAGGATGAGGATGATATTTGGATGACGAATATTGTAGAGAGGTATACGAATCGACCAAATGAGCCATTGTTTCAGAATATGTGTTTGGCAGAATTTTGCTCTGAATTCAGAATCCTAGCAAAATCACAGGTTCCAAAAACTCAGAATGAAAATGTGTTTGAACTGCAGAATTCGAAGGGATTCATCCAGAGAAGAACACGTGCAAAGCCAGCTGTGATACGATACCCAAGATTTGATGCAGAGAAAATGTCGGAGAAGTATTTCCAATGTCTGCTACAACTGTTCTTGCCTTACTGGGCAGATATTCAATTGAAACCCCCAGGATTTGACCTCTATGAAACATTTTATGAAACTGGAAATGTTCGAATTCCAGGGAAGAAAAGACTGCAACCAGTAAAATTAATTGTAGACACCAACCACATGCGTTATGCGAAAAATGAACAACTAATTGATGAGGCACAGGAAGCTTTCGAGAATATAGGAGAACAAGAAGATGCTTGGGCAAGTCTTTGTCCAGAAACAGAATCAATGAGACAGGAATGCAATGCACAGAGAACAGATAGACTTGATTTAAATGATACAGAAGAGCTGCCAGACATGAAATCAGACATAATTTCTGATGTTCTCTACAAGATTCAACAGAATGGACAGTCAACAGAAGAGAATTTACAGATCCTTCAATCTTTGAATGAAACACAAATGAAGCTGTTCTACTCTGTACGTGAATGGTGTTTGAGAAAAAGCTTCGGAGAAAAACCTGATGCTCTGCACATTTTTGTAACTGGTGGCGCTGGAACGGGGAAGAGTCATCTTATTAAAGCAATACATTACGAGGCATCCCGAATACTAGGAAAAACGTTGACATCTCCTGACAGTGTTTCAGTACTACTTGCCGCATTTACTGGAACAGCTGCATTTAACACTGGAGGGAGCACTATCCATCATTTATTTTCACTACCGAAATATATGCCTTTGCCCTATGAGCCATTGAGAGAGCAAAGTCTAAATGAAATGAGAGTTCATCTCGGAGATCTACAAATTCTTGTTATTGATGAAATTTCAATGGTTTATAAAAGATTATTATACTATGTCCATGAACGACTGGTGCAAATCAAGAAATGCAAGGAGCCATTTGGAGGAGTCTCGGTGATTGCAGTGGGAGATTTCTACCAACTTCCTCCTGTGAAACAGCGCAAAGACGAAAGACTGTATAAAGTCAATGCTCTTTACCCTATTGATTATTGGGTCGATTTTTTTAAAGTAGTAGAGTTAACTGAAATTATGAGACAACGTCAGGACATCCCATTTGCAACAGCACTGAATTCACTTCGGACTAGAGACGCGAAACAAGTACTGGAAGAAGAAACGACTTCAATTTTGAACGATTGTGTAAGAGAAGGACCAGAGCATGTCCTCCATGTCTATGCAACAAATGAAGAAGTCAATGGCTATAACTTGACAATGCTCAGGAGGACCTGTAATGACCTTGTTGAGATCGATGCACAAGACTTTATCAAGGATCGATCAACAGGCAAGCTTATCTTGAGAAGTAAGCCAGTCACAAGAGAAAGGACAGATAATCTTTCTGGCAGCTTGTTATTGGGGGTCAGTGCTAGAGTTATGCTCACACGAAACTCCAATGTTGATGATGGTCTAGTAAATGGGGTTATGGGGCACATATCTCACTTTCTGTATGGCCAAAGGGATAATACAAAAGTTGTTGCAGTAGCGGTAGTATTTGACAATTTGAACGTTGGAAAGAAGACTGGAAAGAGAACAAAAGATGGAAATATTGTTTTGATCGAGAGAGTTCAGGAAGAGATACTAGAAAAGAAAACAAAGAATGTTGTGCGACATCAGTTCCCTTTACGATTGTCTTGGGCATGCACATCTCACAAGGTTCAAGGGATGACAGTTGACAAAGTTGTCGTTAATTTAGATAGAACATTTTCCCCTGGGCAAGGATATGTTGCTCTGAGCAGAGTTACATCTAAGGAAGGATTATTTATTGAAACCAACTCTGCTGAATCATTCCAAAAGAAAATATATGCTGATCCAGACGTCAAAGCAGCTTTGGAAGAAATGCCGAAATTGATGCTTCCAAATTTCGACGAGTTTAAACAAGGTTTTCAAATTTTCCTTCACAACATACAGAGTCTCAATAAACATTTCGTCGATCTGAAAAAGGATATTCGATATAGAAATGCAGATATCATTTGCCTAACAGAAACTTGGTTGAGACCTGGACAAAATCTCAGTGTATTTGAATTGGATGGTTTCAACTTTCACCAAGTAGCTAGAGGAGACGTATATGACGACAGCAATACTCAGGTTTTACAGTTGCGTGCATCAAAGGGTGGAGGTGTGGCTGTTTATACCAAAGAGACTGGACAAGAAAAACAAGTCTGTTTTCTTCCTTTTAAGAATGTAGAGGGCATATGTGTGAAGTGCGTGTCGGAAGACGTAGTTGTTTTAACTGTCTATCGACCAAACTCCTTAGATACACCTCAATTTTTAGTACAACTAGAAAGGGTGATAACGTATTACAGACTACAGAGTAAGTTCTTTGTTTGTCTAGGAGACTTCAATGAAGATGCAAGATCTCTTGGAGTTATTCAGGCTTTCATGAGTAGTCAAGATTTCAAGCAAGTTGTTCATTTTAATACAACAGAAGGGGCTACAATTCTAGACCATGTATATATTTCAGCACGTCTAGAGGCAAAGGTCGAAAAAATGCCAACTTACTATAGTTACCACGATGCAATTAAGGTTTCCATAACAACAAGCACATAAAAAAAGGTGTACAGTATAATATGTACCGGGGATACTAATTCCTATCAGAAAGGTCAAAGAACAAGGTTCACTTTTGTCTTATTTGGCTATGTGAATTTCTCGAAAACTGAAACTGTATTGTTTTAGTTAACAAATATTGAATATCACTTAAATCTAAGGTGACTGCGTATCTATCAAGAATTACGGAATTTTATGGCTAGTCAATGCATAACGACGTCTTGAAATGCGACAATTTCCTCATATCTTAAAAAGTCTACAAAAACGGACAATTATTGAATCTATTTTTCGATAATTAATATAGAGCGCAACCTCTGATCTAAAATAGGCAAGTAGTAAATGATAGAGCTGTTTCTGAGGATTAATGGACATGTTTTATATTTTAGATGAGCCTGTGCTCGTATTATATTTCTTTACTGAAAGTACTCAATTATACCTGTTTACTTAGAAATTCAAAAACATTGCATTTTAATAAAGCCAGTTATCCAAGACCTGAACTTTTATGAGAAAATGTTTTATATGATTTGAAAACACTAAGTCTATTTCATTTTCATTTTTCAAATGGAAAATAGAGTGTTAATCAAATAATTGTTAAACCTTGGGGCCATTTTAGGCATAAAATGAATAGACTCTTTTTGAAGAAAATATTAAACTTTAAGGTAAAGTATGACATTTATCTTTATTAACAGAAGGCTATTCAATAGGCTTTATTAGAACTACTTTAGTAAACTAATTCTCTTGACATAAGGGACAAATTGCATGAATTCGATCATGATTTCTTCTTTATTCAGGGTTTTCGAAAATTTAGTGCTAAACATGGTAAATGCAGAGAAAAAGAGATTGCATATTGTTAAAAATGTGAAGACGAACAATTTTGATTGATAGTAATTCAAGGCGGTGTTTATACCGAGAACATCATGATGTAATTCAATAAATGAACAGACACGCGTGTTTGCCTACTGCATGTTTACATTTTTCTTCAAACATGCAGATAAAGGAAATTTACGACAAGATTTTGAATTACTTCAGGAAATGCAATGAGAAACTGTTTTAGTATTTTATTTGTATTTCAAACAAGGCAGGTTGTGCATTTGTTAAGATTTTCCGTGATCACATAAACATTATCTTAATTAGCACACTGAGAAAATGTGTACAAAGACTTCACAAGAAATAAGAATGTAATTTTATGTGCTAATGTTCGTACATTTTGCCATGATGTTTGTGTTATTTGTCGTACCTTTGCTAATTACAGACTAGAAATTAAAAAAAACTTAATGCATTTAAGAACCCTCTCTACACCGCAATGCACACTAAAGAGTTCTGATTACCGGTATATGGTATTTTTCTGTGGTTAGAGTGAGGGCCCTTAGATTTAAATTCTCAAAAATAGAAAATAATATTACACTATTTTGAAATCAATTCAAGTACTCCTAACATTCTAAAAGGCCAAGATGAATTAATTGAAGATTTTATTTGCATGTATTTTCTCTATGGAAGTAATTAAACAACATTGATTTCTATTCACAAATACTTCATTGATTATTTTTTCTGGGGGTTAATGCTAGGTACCATTTAATGAAAATTGAATGAGCTCAATATCAACACTTTGATAGAATGTAAATATAGTTGTCTCAATGTCATTGAGATATTGTAACATTTTGCACTGGTGTAGAGTGGGTCTTAAAAAACATTTATTGGTGCACCTGTACCTTTGGAATATTAGCTTATACATCAAAGTAGTATACCGGTACGAAGTAAATGAAGCATATTTAAACAATTTCAAACTTTAAAAGGCCATCTTAGTTTATATTACGTGAGTACAACTTCAGATATTTTTAAACCATAATTTACAATTAAAATTGTATTTACTGGTACATGAAGTAAGGCATGGGAAAACATGCAAGTGTCCACAAATAACGTATCATAATGTGGAGAATAACTTAATTTTACTGTTTTAAATCGATTGTAAAGCATGAAATTGGTAGATTATAAAGTACATGTACATAATGTCATTAGTGTGTAAAATGCTTGCTTATAAAAGTATTTTATAGTAACCCGCGTGTAATGCAGTGCAACTCATTTACCTTAATGGTTGGTGTAACAGAAAAGAAGTTTCCATAACGTTCATAGACATCCCATTTTTGAGAGAGAAATGATAGGATATAAAGTTTTGTACATAGCAATGAAATTTAAAAAATAGGGATGTCCATCTTAAATATCTATTTTCTTTAGCCGAACATTCGATTGCATTATTCGTACTATCTTCGTAAAGAATGATCAAGATTTCATGATATTTTGTCAAAAAGGATTTAAGCGATTAATATCTTTGTTTCCATTAAATATCACTAAATAATGAAAGGGTTAAAAATGACAGATTTTTGGCCCCCCTGAGCCCCTACTATGAGAGGTCAACCTCTTCTAACGTTTAATTTATCACGAGCCTTATCATTTGATATGAAGACAAAAGGGCTGTCCCCTTAAATGAGGGGCCTAGAAAAAGTATTTCATCAAAAGAGAGAAAGCTTGATATCCATTTTTTTTTTTACAAAGATAATATTCAAAATAATATCTCATCGAAAAATCGGACGGAAGACCTACTCGTTGCTCGCAACGAGATCGCATCTAGTTATTTTTATTATTTTTCCGCCGAATGGTTTTTTGTTTCACAAGTTATTGAAGAGGTTTATAGTTCATAAGAATGTACTCCTTAAATGATTTTTTCGTTTGACCCTGCGTATATGAACTTCGACCCCTTTTGGAGTTACCGCCCCTTTCGCAAAAATATTTGTTATTGCTACTCCTCCGAAACCGTAAATCGTAAAGGAATGAAACCTTCACCAATGTCTTAGACTAATTAAGAAAACCTTAAATCCTTCATTGCAAAAGTATTCATGACCCCTTCAATGAGTTATTGCCCCTGAAAGTTTTTGAATTTTACAAATAATTAAACATTTTCAAAACGAGAAGTCGTAGAGACATGGGACCAACTGCATAAGATTCATTGACCTTTGACCTTAAAATTCATGTCAAGGTCAAAGGTCAAGGTCATTCCAAAAATGAGAAATTTAGCTCTTTTTGTTTCTCTTTTGTCTTTCAACATATACTTAATGTATATGCATCATTACTATGTACTTTTAAAACTATTTCAAAGATATGATTCTTGTCCCCTAACATTAACCCTTTTAAAGTTATTGCCCCTTTTGTGAAAAGCCTATTTTCGCTACTCCTCCGAAGCTATAGACCGTAGAGTCACCAAATCTTCACAAATGTCTTAAGGGTCTTTACGCCTAACTTCACTGTATAAGTGCGAAAGGATCACATGACCCTTATATGAGTTATTGCCCTTTAACTTCTTTGTACTTATTATTAAACCTTATAACTTGAAAACTCAGTCTTGTCGAAATCTGTCGGTCCTGTCGGCAAGGCCAGTAAAAATTTGTCTGGACCGGTCATCACAGACACAGAAAAAATGGCCGCATACGTGGCATGTTGACGATAGCCAAGTAAATTTGTTATCACAAAGTCAGAAAACATGTCATTTGTGTCTATGTTAAAGACTCTCTACCCCAAGAAAGGAAACTTGTTATATTGAAGGCTATTGAAAATATTAAAGGGCATTTTGGTGCTGTTATTCATATGACTTTCTCAGCATCAAAATAAGGTACAAGCATCTGGTCTGACAAAACTTTGACTGGTCCGACAAAACATTTGACTTTGTCAGACCAAATGTCTGACAGTGATGAAAAAATTTCGACAAGTCTGAAAACTATAAGTCATAGAAGCATGGAGTCAATTGCATTATGACCCTTGACCTTTGACCTTGAATATTTTTCAAGGTCAAAGGTCAAGGTCATTCAATTTTTTATTTTATTTTATTTTTTCTATGCTTTAAGACAATTCTGGTGTCTTTTTCATGGAATATAATTTTAAGGAGTCAGATATAAAACAAATTTGAAATTCAAAGAAGGTGGAAAGACCTCTTATTGTTCTGTGAACAATAAGTCTCCTAGTTCTTATTAGGTCTTTCCACCTTTCTGTGGAAAGACCTATTGATATTCTTCTGTTTCTTTTTTTTATTATTATTTTTTATTATTTTTCCGCCGTGTGATTTTGAGTTTCAAGATTTATCAAAAAGATTTTTAATCCATAAGAATGTACTTCATAAAAGATTTTCGCAGTTGACCCTGCGTATATGAACTTTGATCCCTTTCGGAGTTATTTCCCCTTTTGCAAGAAAGCTTGTTATTGCTACTCCTCGGAAATCATAAACCGTAGAGAAATGAAACCTTCACTACTGTCTTCGACTAATTTAGTAGACACTCCAATGATTTATTGCGAAAGTATTCATTGACCCGTTCAAAGAGTTATTGCCCCTGAAACTTTTTGAATTTTACAAATAATTAAAAATTTTCAAAACCAGCAGTCGTAGAGATATGGGACCAACTGCATAAGATTTATTGACCTTTGACCTTAAAATTCATTTAAAGATCAAAGGTCAAGGTCATTCGAAAAATGAGAAATTAAGCTCTTTTTGTATCTCTTTTGTCTTTTATCATATACTTAATGTGTATGCATCATTAATATGTACTTTTAAAACTATTTCAAAGATTTCATTATTGTCCCTTAAAAATAAACCTTTTAAAAGTTATAGCCCCTTTTGCGAAAAACCTTGTTATCGCTACTCCTCCGAAACCATGAACCGTAGAGAAATGAAACCTTCTCTAATGTCTTCAACTAATTTAGTAGACACTCCAATGATTCATTGCAAAAGTATTCGTTGACCCCTTCAATGAGTTATTGCCCCTGGAAGTTATTGAATTTTACAAATAATTAAAAATTTTCAAAACGAGAAGTCGTAGAGACATGGGACCAACTGCATAAGATTTATTGACCTATGACCTTCAAATCCATGTAAAGGTCAAAGGTCAAGGTCATTCCAAAACTGAGAAATTTAGCTTTTTTAATATCTCTTTTGTCTTTTAACATATACTTAATGTCTATAC